ACAGAATTGAAGGGAAAAATGGAAAGCTCTTCAATAATATTTGGAGATTTAAATATACAATTTTGATTAGAACGTCTAGACAAAAAAAGGTAAGGAAATAGAGAACTTGACAACGTTATAAAGCAACTAGATCTAAAAGATATTAATAGAAAATGGCATCCTTGCCCATGCCTTTTGGCAAAAATTAAGGGGGAAATAAATATTATAGAATAAACATCCACTAAGTTTCAGATTCAACAGCAAAATGGGAAACCTGGCTTAGAAAAATGAAGAAAGTGAAAGGAACACGGGCAATGAGGTCTCATCCCCTGCAGTCTCACATAACCTTGATGCTTCCATAGTTAATTTACTTCAGGCTGTACCATAGGGTTTTCCCAAGATATTAGTTCAGCAGCGCTATAGTGGAAGATAACAAGATGGTACAAAAGGGAACAAGTTGGTATAAAAAGGAATTAAACAATACTCTTATAATTCAACAACCATATCCAAACAACCTAATAAAGACTGGGCAAAGCATGTGAATAGATATTTCTTTAAAAGAGATATACAAAAGGTCAAGAAGCACATGAAAGATGCTAAACATCATTAGTCATGAAGGAAATACAAATCAAACCACAATGAGATACCACTTCACTTCTATGAGGATGACTTTAATAATAAAAAACAAGGACAAAATAATGGTGTTGGTGAGGATGTGGAGATAAATCTGGTGGCAATATAAAGTGGAAGAAGAACTCTCCTTTGAGGAATTAAGACCTATAAATCTGAAGAGAACAGAGTTGAGGAAATATGTAGCACAAACTCCCCAAGTGGTTAGTTGGGAGTGACTTTATGTTGGGCCATTTATACTTCCACCTCTTGAATTCTGAACACAGATATTCTACACATTGAGGATACAGAACATTATGATTGTCATTGATTTACAGTATATACTAAACCAAACCCAAAACCTTGCCATCAAGTTGACTCCAACTCATAGAGACACTATAGAAAAGAGTAGAACTGTCACATAGGATTTCCAAGGCTGTAATCTTTACAGAAAGAGACTGCCACATCTTTCTCCTGCAGAGCGGCTGGTGGGTTCTAATCACTGACCTTTTAGCCAGCAGCTGAGCTCTTAACCGCTGTGCCACCAGGGCTCCTTCAGTGTATACTGCATCCTGCAAATTATGTAGCCATAACTGTCTGTGTATTCAAATGTTGCACTTTATGTGATGATTCCCTTTGAAATTAATCATCTTCCCTTATCTTCCACTAATTAAAAAAAATTCTCCTGTACTCCGTATTCACTTTAGGCTATGTTTTATCCCTCTTCTTCCAGTTCCTGGCAAACTTTCGTACAATAGGTCTGTACCTGCCACCTACATTTCCTCAATACTCACTCTTCAACAATATCACCTGAATTATTTCTGTCTCTACCCCTTTATTTAGAGAGCCAGGAAATAAACGGAGTCGTCTCTGAGATCAACAAAGTCTTCTGTGTACTAAGTGTATGTCAAAGGATATTTTTCAGTCTTTGTGTTATTAGTTCTTTAACAACATTAAAATTATTGACCAGTTTGCGTTTCTTCAGACAGGACCTCTTTGCCTCCATAAGCTTGAGGACACCAAGTGACCCATAAAAACTCCAAATATTCTTTATAGCAAACACTTCCAAGGGTGGAATTTCACCCCAGGAGAGATGGTTCCTAGGTTTGGTTCCTTGTAGAATTTTAACTTTCCTTAGGGGACAGCTTGTCGCTTTAAAATCAAACTAAAGATAGAAGAATTTCTCCTTGGAGGAAATGAATCCATCTCACCTCCCTCCTCCCCCGCAAAGCTGCCTACAAAGAGACAAAATTGGCAGAAATTTTTCCATTTATCTTCTTTGTACCCAAGGGAGCTGAATTGTTCAGAGAGTGGAATGACAATAGAACAATTTATTTAATGATGAACTCTGAGATTCAGCCCCGGAGACTCTGGAAATTTTAAACATGTCCTCATTGCCCCTCATCCTGTAAATATTTGATTCCAGTCTTGGTGAAAACCAAATTCGGCTTCCCAGAGCCTATGCAGAAGAGAAACAGCTTAAGTGATATCATCAGAAAGAGTTAGTGTGTCCCATTCAAGGCTGGTGGAGTAAGAAGGAAAAGAGGAAAAAAAGTGGGCACTGGGCTTCATCTCTCTGGTAAGGACTGTGAAATTTCCCATATTTGTTTAGGAAGGTGAACTCTCTGTACTTTAAAAGGACTTTATTTTCCATTGCAGCCTGTCTGTTTCAGCTCTCATTCTGTTTCTTCTTTGTCTTTCTGGAATCTAGAGCTTGTCTCCAAAATGAAAGTTGAAATGGCCATTTCTTGAATATGTAATTTTCCAAAGAACCTCTGACTCAACGAGTTTTGACATTTTATCTTATCTCTCTCACCAAACATCACTTCTCCACTCTCTTTTATAAATTGTAGACTGTTGTCAGATTTTCCGATATCCAGGAATTTATCCATTACCTACATGATGAACATCTATTTCACAGAAGGTATTGTCTATTTTGTTCCTAATGTGATTGGGTTTTTCTATATATTTTTTAACTACTTTTGCTCTAAACGAAAAGTTATCGGTTTCTAAACTTCTTTAATGTCCAGCCAACTGACTTATAGCACTTAAAATTTCCAGTTTATAGGCTATTTCTCCTTAATGTCCACAATATATATCTACAAATAGTATAATTATTTTTGAAGTTTTAGTACTCAGACCCATTTCCTTTTCTCATCTTAAATTCAGAAGAATGAGTAAAGTGGAATTAGATTGCCTTGGTTTAGTCAAGAATTTAGCACAAATATTTGAGTGTTTTAATGTAGATTATTCTGTTTGGTGTGATTTTAAAACAGCCACTCTATATTTGGTTAAGGCTGTGGTGGGAAAACAAAGTCACAACCTCTGACTCATGAGTAAACACCCAATTACTCACATTTGAGGCACATTAAGGAAAGTGTCGGATGCTCTATTTGTGGGCCTCACGAGGTCTGTCCTTCCTAGCCCTCATTGTCTGCTCTCCATCTTACTGGCCTCTCAAATCCCTTCCATTACCAAGCTCAGTGCCCCGCAGGTAACCAAGCCTTCTGTTCTCTCAGTCTATTGTGCTTGCCCTTTCCTTACTTCCTCAGACTGACGATTACCTATTCTTCATCTCTCAGCTCAAACAATCCTATTTCAGAGAAGCCTTTCCTACTCATCTGCCCAGACTAAATTCCTTGTCCTCAATGATTTTTTTTTTCTCTTTTTAATTAATTTCCATTCTTTATGCATGGACAATACTATTTTTCTTTTATGTAAAATGTAAACATTTATTTTCAAATCTTAAGTTTGACTTTTAATTTTCTCTAATATGATTTACTCTATAGAAGTTTTTAATGTTTTTAATCTAATCCATCCATAGTATTCTTTGTAATTACCTCCACTGATTTTAACAGAACATATCTTCATTCAAGAGCACGTACACATGAGCACACACATGCCTTGTATTTGATTTGAATGGTTTTGTGCTTTTATTTCCTCCTCTTATCTACAGAGTCCACATGGCCTTTCCTCTTCTTGGAAGAATCCATCTTCACTAACTGGAAGAGCTGCATGGAGACCAAAAGGGTAACAGATCTGTTGTGTTTGTAATCATCACAATTCCATCCTTGATGGCTGCCCTAATTTAAAGGGGATATTGATAAGTGATAGACGTGCAAGACAGATTTATTGTGAGGACAAAAAAAGAAGCTCATAATTACCAAGTGCCTACAGTATATCACAGGCACCACAGTAGAAAAATGACATGCATCATCTCATCTAATTCATTCATCAATCTCATTATGTAGAGAATATTTACTACTTCCATTGGAGAAGTGAGGTATCTGCAACTAAGAGAAATTAAGTAACTTTCTCAAGATCATATAGGTAGTAAGTTGGTAGAGCCAAAATTTTATTTTAGGCAGTATGTTTCAAATATTCACTTTCATAATTACAGATTTATACTGTAGTTTGGGAGAATTCTATATCTAAAATAATTGTCATAAAAGGAACAGATTAATAATTGCAATAATAGTTGTGATGAATTGGGAGTCCTGGAGGCACAGTTGTTAAGCGTTCAGCTGCTAACTGAAAGATATGTAGTTCGAACCTACCATCTGCTCTAAGGGAGAAAAATGTGGCAGTCTTCTCCAGTAAGGATTGCAGCCTTGGAAACCCTACTGTGTCCAATACTGTTGTTAGATGTTGGAATCGACTACACAACAATGAGTATTTATTGGGGGGGGGGGAGTATTATTAATTGAGATCCTTCTGTTGACAAAGGCATTTCTAAACCTCACAAAGAAGGTAATGGTAATAACCAGATTTTTAAACAAGAAAAAAATAAGGCACCAAGAGTTAACTGTCACATCATTAGGATGTGACAGGTCACATTTAAGACATGGATTTTCAACTCAGGTGACCTTTAATCAGTAACATAGAGCTACCAGAATGAGGGAGGTTATGGTAATTATCAGGGAAAAGAGCATACTTGGGAATTCACACAACATGTTTCCAATTAGCTTGGGTCATATCAAAGAAGAAATTGGTTTAATCACATAAATTCAAATAGGAGAATTAGAACCAGGGAATAGAAGCTAAAAAGGGAGAGATTTCTGCTAAGTCAAAGTGTTTGAATAATTATACACATTTAAAATGGAAAAGGGCTACCTGTGACTGAGAGAGTCACTGTCATTGGAAAGACTCCATAACAAAATACAAGTGGTATTATAAAGGTGATGACTAGCTGAGATACCAGCTGGCAGTTCATTGAATGATGCTTTTACCTTTTTCAGCCTACACGTTAGCTACATGGAAGCAGAAAACCAAACATTTTCAGGATTCCTCCTGCTGGGCCTCTCAGAGGATCCTGAACTTCAGCACCTCTTCTTTGGACTCTTCCTGTCCATGTACCTGGTTAGTGTGCTTGGGAACCTACTCATCATCCTGGCCGTCTACTCTGACCCCAACCTCCATACCCCCATGTACTTCTTCCTCTCCAACCTATCGTTTGTTGACATCTGTTTCATCACCACCACAGTCCCAAAGATGCTGGTGAACATCCAGACAGAGAGCAAAGACATCTCCTACATAGGATGCCTCACTCAGGTGTATTTCTTCATGATTTTTCTTGGGCTTGACACTTTTCTCCTGACCATTATGTCCTATGACCGCTTTGTGGCCATCTGTCATCCCCTGCACTACACAATCTTCATGAACCCCCAGCTCTGTCTCTTGTTGGTTCTTATGTCTTGGGTCATCATTTTCTGGATCTCTCTGCTTCATATTCTACTGATGATGCGGCTGAACTTCTGTAGAAGCACTGAAATTCCACATTTCTTCTGTGAACTGGCTCAGATTATCAAATTGGCCTGCTCTGATACCTTCATCAATAACTTCTTTCTGTATGTGATGACAGTTCTGGTGGGTGTGTTTCCCTTCACAGGGATCCTCTTCTCTTACTCTCAGATTGTCTCCTCCTTAATGAGGATGTCCTCTGCTGGGAGCAAGTATAAGGCATTTTCTACCTGTGTGTCTCACCTCTCAGTGGTCTCCTTGTTCTATGGGACAGGCCTTGGGGTCTACCTCAGCTCTGTTGTAACCCATTCTTTCCAGGAAAGCTCTATTGCCTCAGCGATGTACACTGTGGTCACACCCATGCTGAACCCTTTCATATACAGCCTAAGGAATAAGGATGTGAAGGGAGCCCTGGGAAGGCTTCTCTGTAGAGCAGGGTCTTTTCCATGATGATGGTCACTGGTCTCATGGCTATATGGGCCTCGTGATCCCCAAAGCCAAATACCACGAACTTAAATATCCTTATTCTTTTTTCTTCCTAAAAGACATGTATCATTTCTTCCAATCCCAAAGCACCTATGACTTTGTTTTCTACTTGTCATTGAATCATTTTTCCTCAACTCTTTCCTTAGTAAGTTCTTTTGACTCTTCCCTGTATGCTGTCCATAGAATTCTTTCTTTGATCAGCTTTCTTAGAGTCTTTCCTGAAAATTCCAACCTTAAATTTGTTGCATTGGTTTTATCATGTTAAGTGCTGGCATAGTTTCCCCAAAGGTTAATCTCTCAAGCATTGATGCTCTTCCCTTTAATTTGGTTATATGTGTGTTTTTCCCTGAAAGAAATCAAATTAAAATCAAACAACACTCATAACCAAGTGCTTGCCGCGTGTCAACTGTACTCATTGTTTTACACACATGATTTCATTTAACCATGACAACATTTCTTTGAGATATATTCTCATTCACTTCATTTTTCAGAGGAAGAGTCTGAGATTATGTTGGATTTAAACATGGCAATCTGTCATTGAATTAATACTCCTATCTTCTCTATCCTACTTTTCATAAGAAAAATGATGTGGTTTTCAACTTCAAGAGTGGGAATCTAGATTTGATAGATGGTTTTTTCACGTTTCATAGTAATATACTGTATCAGATAGTCTAAGATGTTGATTAATTCTTTGTGGTCCTTCCCGACCTCTTTTCTTCCTTCCTTTCTCCTTTCTTCTTCTTCTTTACTTTCTCATTTTCCTTATTTTAGTTTACCTTTATGCCTCATCATTGTAGTTTTAAGATAGACTCCCCAAGGTCTGAAAACATGTAGTAATGAATACAATGGAATACGAGATTTTCCCTCTCGTGGCTTAATTTTCTGGGACTCTCTGGAATTGTCATCAGGAATGGTAGTTGCTCACTTGTGGAATGCATTCAGAAGTTCATTTTTTGAGATGAATATTGGTAGAATTGAGTCTGTCCAGTGAAAGATGGAGTAGTAGATGCTGTTGATGCTCCTCCCACATTCACTGGGATCATCTCACCATCTCTATTACACACCAGTCTGACTTCCAATGGACAACATCAGCTGGAACGTACTTTGCCCAATGCATGGTGGCAGAAGTGACTGGGAATTATGTATTTCTACAGGCAGCTTTCACTGAGAGGTATACGATATACTACCTTACCTGGGATAATACTGAGGTGTGAGTTTCGGACATTTTCCAAAATTTCCCCACAGGGTGAAAACCCTGCTCACTCACTATGGTAAAAACCCATTGCCATCGAGTCCATTCCGACTCATAGCAACCCTATAGGACAGGGTAGAACTGCCCTATAGGGTTTCCAAGGAGAGGATGGTGGATTCAAACTGCCAACCTTTTGGTTAGCAACCTAAGCTCTTAACCACTGTGCCACCAGGGCTCCCTTGCTATGGTAGCTGACTTAATGTAAGCTTTAATGGATGTATTTTCTTACCTGTGTCACTTCTCCTCTCTCCCATCCATATTCCTTGCTTCTTTGAGTAAATTGCTTGCACTTGAATCTTTCTCTCAGTGTCTGCTTCCTTGGGAACCAAAAAGTGAGATAGTTGATAAAGACTGTGAGGGATATTAAGGGAGTCATGAAAAGAACTAGGGATTTTGAGGCCAAAACAAAACTACAAAAAGAAGACACAAATTTCCCGAAAAATCATAATTTGTTAGTGAGAAAAGTCTTGTTTGATACGGCTTCAATTCACTTTGATGCCATCAAGTTTAACCAAATGTGTATTTATTATCTACTATGTACAAATTGCACCGAAGTGTCTGTCAGTTTGTCTTACTGTGGGGCTTGCATGTTGCTGTGATGCTAAAAGCTATGCCACTGGTATTCAGATATCAGCAGGGTCATACATGGGAGACAGGTTTCAGCTGATCTTCCAGACTAAGACAGACTAGGAAGAAGGACCCGGTAGTCTACTTCTGAAAAGAATTAGCCAGTGACAACCTTAGGAATAGCAGCAGAATATTGTCTGATATAGTGCCAGAAGATGAGCCCCTCAGGTTGGAAGGACTCAAAAGATGACTGGGAAAGAGCTGCCTCCTCAAAGTAGAGTCGACCTTAATGACTTGGATGGAGGCGAGCTTTCTGGACCTTCATTTGCTGATGTGACATGACTCAAAATGAGAAGAAATAGCTGCAAACATCCATTAATAATCGGAACGTGGAATGTACGAAATATGCATCTAAGAAAACTGGAAATCATCAAAAATGAAATGGATCACATAAACATCAATATCCTACACGTTAGTAAGCTGAAATAAGCTGATGTTGGCCATTTTGATTTGGACAACCATATGGTCTACTATGCTGGAAATGACAACTTGAAGAGGAGTGTCATTGCTTTCATCGTCAAAAAGAACATTTCAAGATCTATCCTGAAGTACAATGCTGTCGGTGATAGGATAATATCCATACGCCTACAAAGAGGACCAGTTAATATAACTATGATTCAAATTTATGCACCAACCACTAAATCCAAAGATGAAGAAATTGAAGACTTTTACCATTATGCAGTCTGAAATTGATCGAACATGAAATCAGGATGCACTGATAATTACTGGTGATTGGAATGTGACAGTTGGAAATGAAGAAGAAGGATCAGTAATTGGAAAATAAGACCTTGGTGACAGATATGATGCTGGAGATGGCATGACAGAATTTTGTGAGACTGATGAGTTCTTCATACCATATACCTTTTTTTCACCAACATAATGATGACTATACACATGGACCTCACTAGATGGAATACACAGGAATCAAACCGACTACATCTGTGGAAAGAGACAATGGAAAAGCTCAATATCATCAGCCAGAATAAGGCCAGGGGCTGACTGCAGAACAGACCATCAGTTGCTCGTATGCAAGTTCAAGTTGAAACTGAAGGAAATTAGAACAAGTCCACGAGAGCCAAAGTATGACCTTGAGTAGATCACACCTCAATATAGAGATCATCTCAAGAATGAAGAAAGCAAGAGGTTATTAAAAAGACAGGAAAGAAAGAAAATACCAAAATGGATGTCAGAACAGACTCTGAAACTTGTTCTTGAATGTCAATTCGCTAAAGCAAAGGGAAGGAATGATGAAGTAAAAGAACTGAACAGAAGATTTCAAAGCCTGGCTCCAGAAGGAAAAGTAAAGTATTATAACGACATGTGCAAAGAGCTGGAGATAGAAAACCAAAGGGAAGAACACACTCAGCATTTCCTAAAATGAAAGAACTGAACAAAAAATTCAAGCCTCGAGTTGCAATACTGAAGGATTCTATTGGGAAAATATTAAACGATGAAGGGAGCATCAAAAGAAGATAGAAGGAATACCCAGAGTCCTTATACCAAAAAGAATTGGACAACGTTCAACCATTTCAAGAGGCAGTATATGATCAGGAACTGATGATACTGACGGAAGAAGTTCAAGCTGCACTGAAGGCATTGGTGAAAAATAAGGCTCCAGGAACTGACGGATTATTAATTGAGATGTTTCAACAAACGGATGCAGTGCTGAAAGTGCTCAGTCATCTATGCCAAGAAATTTGGGAGACAGTTACCTGGCCAACTGACTGGAAGTGATCCATATTTATGCCTATTCCCAAGAAAGGTGATCCAAATGAATTTGGAAATCGGTGAACAATATCATTAATATTACACTCAAGTACAATTTTGCTGAGAATCATTCAAAATCAGATGCAGCAGTATATTGACAGGGGACTGCCAGATTCAGGCAAGATTCAGAAGAGGACGTGGAACCAGGAATATCATTGCTGATGTCAGATGGATCCTGGCTGAAAGTGGAGAATACTAAACAGATGTTCACCTGTGTTTTATTGACTATGCAAAGGCATTCGATTGTGTGGATCATAACGAATTATGGATAACATTACAAAGAATGGGAATTCCAGAACACTTAATTGTGCTCATGAGGAACCTGTACATAGATCAAGAGGCCGTTGTTCAGACAGAACAAGGGGACATTGCATGGATTAAAGCTAAGAAAGGTGTGCCTCATGTTGTATCCTTTCACCATACCTATTCAGTCTGTATGCTGAAAAAATAATCCGAGAAGCTGGACTATATGAAGAAGAACGGGGCATCAGGATTGGAGGAGGACTCATTAACAACCTGTGTTATGCAGATGACATAACCTTGCTAGCTTAAAATGAAGAGGACTTTGAGCACTCACTGATCAGGATCAAAGACCACAGCCTTCAGTATGGATTACACCTCAACATAAAGAGAACAGAAATCCTCACAACCAGACCGATAAGCGACATCATGATAAACAGAGGAAAGATCCTCTGCTGAGCTCCTTTTGTTTATGGATTTGTTTTTCATTTCTCTTATGTTTGTAGGTTTTGTTTTTACTAAGACTTTATGTTTTTCTTCTTTATTTTGATGAGTAGGTTTGTTAACATTCTTTGTGGCTACCTTGAAATTTACTCTTATCATCCTAGATTTGAACCAATCTATTATTACTTGGTATGGCCTTGCCTTCCTCTCCATTAGAAGGTTCTGTACCTACACCATTTATTTTCTCTTTTACTGTTCAAATGCTGTTGTCATTTACAGATTAACCTCTCTGGTTCCCTGTTGTAATTCTTTTGGTTTTGCATAGTCCTTATGAGTCCATTTCCTAGGTTGGTATCTGGCTAGTACAATCCTTTATCTTATATTCAGCCTGTGGTCTGATGTTGTTTGTTCTCAGATTGAAGGACTCCCTTTAATAAGTCTTGTAAATTTGGTTGGGTTTTTACCTAGTCCCTTAATTTCTGTTTATCTGGAAATGATCTAATTTCACCATCATATTTGAACAAGAACTTTGCAGGATATATTATTCTTGGCTGGCAATTTTTTTCTTTCAAGGTTTTATATATGTCATCCCATTGCCTTCTTGCCTGCGTAGTTTCTACTGAGTAATCAGAGC